AGCCCCAGCCCCCGGAGCCCCCTGCACCGCCCGCCTGGGGGGCCTCTCTCCCACACCCCGTGTGCGTGGAGCGTTGCCCACCATTTTCAACCTCCATCTGCCTGGCCCTCCTGACCACAAATGTCTTGCGAGCTGGCCTGACCCCTGCCCTTCACGCCTGGGCCCAGGGCTGGCCCGCAGCCCGTGCAGGTGAGTGGCTGGCTTTGGAGTCAGGTAGACTTGGGCTCCAATCCCGGCTGCGGTGCGTTCTTGCTCTGTGGCCGTGGGCAGGTGACTGACCTCTCTGAGCCACAGCCTCTCAGCGGTGAGATGGGCTGGAAACACCTCACATTTGCCAAGAAGATGGATCGAGCGTGAAAAGCCCTGGGCGCACAGTGCGTCCCACTCAGCAGTGGCTTGATCGTGTGACCAAAGGACGGAGGGGACTTGCTCGCCGATGCCCAGGAGAGATGGGGGAGCCACGGCCCGTCTCGGGGTGCGGAGCTCCCTGGGGAGGAGGGGCAGCTCCAAGGCCTCGCTCGGACTGTGAGGCTCCGACCCCGAGGCCGGCTCAGCAGGTGAGAGCTCTGCACCCGGAGCCGCGGGGACATTCGGAAAGGGTTCCGCCCGGGACTCTGGAGCTCGCGGAGCCTTCCTCTCAGGACGGCAAAGGGGGGATCCTCGCCGGCCCCTGGGACGCAAGCAGCACAGGCTGCGGCCTGCAGAGTGGGGTGCCTGGGGGCGGTACCTGGGGGCCCGACAGAGAGAGCCCACAGCCACGCTGCACAGTGACGAGCAGATGTGGGAGATGTGGACAGAGCGTCCCGTCTGAACGGCGATAAATCCCCGACATGCGATGGGCCCCTCTCACCCACCACCTCTCAGCCCCTCAACCCGTCACCGCGCCAGGCCCGTGCGCCCACTGTCCAGCAGAAATGGCCTCACTTCCAACCCACGCCCCCTCCCCGGGACGTGGAGTCACCAGCTCCGACTGAACTGGGACATGACTGCAGGGGGCCGCACGCCGCTGCCCACCCGGTCCAGGGCTGGAGGAGCCCTGAGGAAGCAGTGGGGCCGCGGGCTGGGCTGGAACCTTCCCTCTCAGGTCCCGTCCCCCTCTTCTGAGAAGCTTCAAGGGAGCACTTTCAACCTCTGGTTCTGTAACCTCACTGTGGGTCAGAGCCACCAAGCGTGAGGCCAAACATACACCAAAAAGAAACTCGTGCAAAACCTGGTAGCCTTGACTCCCATGCTGCTAGGAAAGGCAATGTGTGGGTTAAAACTGCCCAGCCCAGCCGGCATCGCTCACTGGTTCGACCTATGAACCAGGAGGTCACAGTTCAATTCCTGGTCAGGGCACATGCCCGAGTTGCGGACTCGATCCCCAGTGTGGGACGTGCAG